CATAATCATCCATTTACATATGAGATTGGTTAACACATAATTAAGAATCCATAGGAATATTTTCATTAATAAACCCTAACTTCTCCTTTGCAAAATAGATTATTCTCTTTACTCCCTCCCAAATATTAGACTCTTAACCCTTTATTCCTGTTGAATCTAGATCATGAATTCACCAAGTTATGAAGTTCATAGCAACATGAATTTATCTTATGCAGTTTCAAGCCCAAATATCAAACATGATTTGAGTTTCTGTAATGGATCCAAAACTTGGGTTTCGCGAGTAACCCAAAAACTGGGTTCTTCGAGGAACCTAGATTTGGGTTCCTTGCGGAACCCCAAGGAACCCATAATGATGAAGAGCTTGGTGAAGGGGATGGTGAAGATGATAAAGAGGATGGTGAAGATAAACGGTCACATGATGATGCTCGAGGATGAAGGTGAGGTGAGGATGAGGATAAGAGTGTGGAGAAAGAAGAAGATGAAGAAATTAAAGTTAATTATGTTTAAATTCATTTAATTCATAATTAAAAAGGAAAATTTTTAATTTGTACACGTGGTCTAAAATTTTTAGATGAAATGCTTGCTCGAGTTTATAATTTTCTCCTTATAATTTTCACGTCATTTATGATATCAGTTATTTAAAAAATAATGAAGTAATTCCATTAATTAACGTGATAGTTTGGCAAATAATTAACGGAGGGACCAAAAAGAGGCTGGATTTTAAATTTTAATGACCATAAAAGGATTTTTTCCTGTACAGGGACCAAAAAGGGGCTTTTATCAATAGTAAAGGTACCAAAAAGGGTATTTAACCTATTAAAATCAATCATATTAGAATTTGATCCTTTCTAGAGATAAGTCAATATTTGTTTCTTGTTTTGCCTTAAAGCTATTTATTCATTCTCCTTTTGTCAAGTCTATAAGTGGGAGGTTTTAGCATATAGTTCTTTCATTACCTTTGAAGGCTTCAACCATTGACAAAAAATTACTCCCACTTACCTTGTTGGGGTTAGCTCAAGTGATAATTAAGGGTGATGACAACTATATTGAAAATATAGGTTTAAATTATTATTATTTTTTAGTATATCGAATGTATAAAAAATAAAAAAAAAAATTTATTTTTCTTAATTATTTTCAACTTATTTCAATATTTAAATTTGAAATTTTCAATTTTAAGTTTTTAATTCTTGATTATTTGAAACACTCTCTTAAACTTAAATTACTACTATTTGGTGGGTGTAAATAATTTCCAATACAAAATTTAAACTCTTTATTGCTTAAAATACTTTATTAAAGTTAAACTATTATTATTTAGTGGGTGTAAATAATTTTAACATGCTATCGTTGTCGCCCTTAATTAAAGATGGAGATTTATCCTGTAAATTTGAATAAGGTCGATTGATAAATTCAATAAGATTATTAAAGCCAAAATTCATAATGCCATGTATTTTAAAAAAATTACCCCCACTTGAAACACTTTTTTTATTTCCATTATAAAGTGGAGAATCTTCAAAACCTATAGTGACAGGTCACGACGACGAAGGTCTAGTTATCATAACTGACAGTTATTGAAGTGTGTAACGGAATTTATGACTTTGTAGGATGTATGTATTATTTTTCAAAAAATTATGATAAATCTAAGCTATTAATCAATACATCATGGAACAATGGATGGCTAAAATCTTGTACAAAATTTATGTTTAAGTGGAATGTTATATATAGTAACAACTTTTATGTTAAAATCCGATTTGGCATTCATTTTTCGCAGAAGTCTGTCAACCTCATTATCAACATCAGCACTACCACTGCTCCAGACGTCAACTCTCCCAAAAGTTCAAGGTTCGTGTAGGAAATTAAAGCAAGGAAAAGAAAGAACGAAAACTAAAAGAAATTCAAAATGCTTTATTATTCTGTAACATGAAAATGAGTACATAGGTAGCCTTTATATAAAGCGTTAGGTAACTTAATAATAAAAAAATTTAAAAACTCTAAATCAATCTAACATAATAATTCTAAAACCTATTACAACAATTGACTCAATTTACACATGGCGTCACGCCCCAGAACCTAAATCCGGGGATGTGGCAAACGCCGTACACTCGTGAAAGGATCCCACAAATGCACAAGGCTCGGAACTTATCCAATTCACATCTGACAATCCAATAACTTAAATCAAATATTTCAACATAATTCTATGTCCAACATGACTGAAACTTAACATCTCAAGGTCAAATCTCTTGTAAATTAACAATCCATTAAATAAATTTAAAAAATCTCCAATTAAAATCTAGCTTACAAGATCATGATCATATCTAAAATCTATATCAAATTACAGGTGGCTAGCCTTCTAACTCGTCACTCCCCTCGTTTTTCCTCGTCCTTGACTTCGCTTCTTGAAATGGTGGACAAGGAAAAACTATGAGATAACTCAGTAAGTAAATATGGATAGCCCGAGAGTAAAATTTTAGCATGCTTGATAAACGGTTTAACATAACAAAACGTTCAATGATAAACCGTTAATGCAGAATCAAATTCAGTTCAATAAACAAGCGTTCAATAACAAATCGTTAATGCAGAAGAAAATTCAGTAGTAGTCTCATCTATAGGTCATGGCCAGCGTTTATAAACCTCCCACTGGCGGGCACAATAGTAACCGATGTTTTATCCCATTGGCAGGATTTTAGAATGAACTGGTCCTATCAGTAAACATGTCGACAAAGTTTTAAAAACCGACCCGGAGGTCAAACCGTTTTGACCTCTGGTTCCCGGTTTAACCGGTTCAACCGTTCAAACCGCCGGCTCAACCCAAATGAATAAATATAATGTTGTGTAGTACTTTGACAAAACGGGTGCGGTGGATCAACTGGTTTGTAACCTTGCCCATTGTGGAGGAGGCACAAGTTCGAGCATGCTCCATGTTAAAATATATGTAGAGTGTTTCTAAATTTTTAATGGGTTTTTTAATATATAAAATGTATAATATATGTAATTTT